TACTCCATGTCAGCTATTTTTAGCCCTAATTTAACTAAGTGTTCAATAGTGATAACAGTATGAACTGGAGAATTTTTGTGCATAAATACCACTTTCTGTTCGAGTGGCAGCGACTTTTTTTAACTATGGTAGAATATTTATTCTTAGGAATTCAACATAGGCAGGAGAGTTTATTTTGAAGGCATCAGTAAATAACCTGGGGCCAACCAACTCATTTCCAGTAATCCTTGCCTAAAACATAACTCCTTTGCTGATTCTGCAGTCAAAAGAGGCTTAGGGTTGTCCTTCAGCCACCATCCTGTTCCCCGGCTGTCAGGACCCTCTGGCATTGCCCTGCTCTTATGCATAAATAACACATGGTAAAAATTGAATTTTAAATACTTTTCAGTCTGGAAAACATGTTTATCTAAGTGATTTGGCTTCAGGGAAGAGAAAATGATGAGTTTGGAGCATGTTTCTAATCTCAGGATATGCTATTGTGATGTTTTAAGTATATTTGGAGCTGCAATGGCAGCAAATAATTCAATGTTACTCTTAATTGGGTGATTATGCATCTTTATTTTCATACAGGTTTCCATTTGTTGATACAAACATCCACATGTCTTCATTTTGTTGGCACATGCACTACATGAAGCTGGGCTCAATGTTAATTTTATGATATGGTAATGGCAATATTAGCTGCATCCTTATAAGGAAACATTTGGTATTCATTGACTGAGCAGCCAATCCTGTTGTCAGTTGAAATTTATAAAATCTTTCTCTTAAAACTTAAAATTTCAGGAAAATAGGTTTCTCAAGTCCAATAGCTGTTATCACACTTTCCAGTATTAATGTAGATTACTTTCCTAACCTTTTGTTTGAAGTTGTGTGGAATGTCAACATATTATGTCATTATTTCTTCAAGTTTCTATCTGTGATATCTATTTTAGTTGTTTCCACTGTTGAAAGTGATGCCTTTTCTGTTATTTAGTACAGTTCTTTATTTGTAATTCTGTAGTACCAATCCACAAGGTTCAAAGAAGGATGGTCTTTGACATGACTCACAGACTTCACTCACTCAAAGCCTCTTTTCAACCATTGATCTGAAAAAGTTGTTGTATAGAGCAGACAGTTTAGATATTTCTGAATGGGTTTGGCACTATGCATGACATCCATATGAAAATCTCAATCTAATGAGGCTATTTACAAACATGACTCAAGTTTTCAGGCTCATGTTTTGTAACAGTTTGCTGTGTTGAACAATATTACCCCTAGTGCAGCCTATTTTATGTTCAATTTTACTTATCTCCTATACTAAATTTGTTATAACTGATCCATATGCTGAGGCATTTGAAGTGTTTTTAATATTTACTAATACATCCTGAATTTTTATGATGCATTCAGGGTAGGAATCCTTACTGCTTTCATTCCGGTTCCAGATCATAGTTTCTGTTTTGGAAATGTTTATCTTAAGTCCTATTTCTCAGAACACTTGGTAGAGGAAGTTGATTTTCTATTCAAGATCATTTTTATCCCAACTATGAAAACCTATGTCATCAGATGCATGAGTTTGTCATTTCCACTGTTGTTTTTCATTCATAAATCATTTAAAAACCTTTTTGCTTTCTCATCATTGTTCAGATTTGCAATAACCCCAAAAAGGTTGGGAACTCCTGCTCTACAACAATACCTTGTATTACATTATTTTTATTTAATAAGATTAACACAATATTTAACAAAACTGTAAATGTAGAATATTCACTGAGGTTTGATTTGCAGTCTATAATGTTATATAATATGGAATGGTGAAAAATAAGTAATATCATCAAATGGCTGTACATCCTGGGTATGATGCTAAACTACATCTCTATCAGGAAGGCTTCTTATCAGGAGGTTTTGAGGAGTGTGGAACTACCTCTTAACTGCTGGTGTTCCCAAGTCCACTCTGACCCTGACTGGTAGCACCTGTTTGAGTGCCAGCTAGAGGCAAATAGTTAGTCACCAAACTGGAGTTAAAACACTATACTATGAAAGTATAAAAATACTAGCAATACATTTTCATAGTTAAAAAAATTACTAGCAATACATTTTCATAGTTAAAAAAATTGCCAGCAATACATTTAAAAAAAAAAAAAGAAATTACCAGCTCTACATTTTTTGTTAAAGAAATTACTAATGCTCCCAAGAAACTTAAATTTTGGCATTAAATGACCCATAAGGAGTTGATATGCCACTAAACAAACGAACAAATTACTATCAGTTATTTATTACTGGCAAAAACCACTTAACATTGTGCATGCCAGTGCTACCAACCTTTTATTAAAAATTTGTGACAATACATGCAGTCAACCAGAGGATAATTTAAGAAATGTGATTTGCATATAATCTTGAAACGCAGTATACTCTCAGACTTTGAAATTACTAAACATTTGTGGCATTACAAAAGTTTGGAATTGTAGATCAAAGTCATATTATTGAATTATAATTTACTTGACCTCACATGATCTGTAATATCATTAATTTGGTAAGACTTTGAAACTATAGATGTTAGGAAATTTGTTTTAACTTGTTTGTGCTGACTTCTTTGTATTTTATAACTTACCGATTACATTAAACCAACATGACTCATAATCATCTGACATCAGTCTACTCGCTATCAGGTGTTGTATTGGCTAATTGCAATAAAATGTCAAAATCACTTGGATAAAGTAAATTAGTGTAACAAAAGAAGACAATAAATGTAATAATCTATTATTATACAACATTTTGCTACCTAATTTTATTTCATCATATATCTCTAAGTATTTCTTTCTGCATAAAGAACAGATACTGTGTCTTTATATTGTACTCAGCTAATGTAATTTAATATTACTTAGAATTTACATTAATAATAAAGAGAGAGCTATAAAATGCAATGGTTAACAAGTTTGTCTCATCAACTAGTAAGATGTTAAAACCTCAGTGAATATTCTACATTTACAGTTTTGTTAAATATTGTGTTAATCTTATTAAATAAAAATAATATAATACAAGGTATTGTTGTAGAGCAGGAGTTTCAAATGGAAAAATTTTCTACTATCCATCTATATAATAAATATTCAAATGCATACCAAAATTGTTTGTTGTTCTTCTATGTGTCATGTCCCTTCAGGACATAAGCAACCATGGCTCTCTACAGTTTCCTGTCCTTTGTAGTTCTTTGCTGCTGGTTCAGAAACCGGCTTTATGATGGAGCAAAAAATATTAAAGGGAGGTAACAAATAACTGCTGGTTTAGGCAGAATGAAAGAAAGCAAACTTAACCATTGAATAGCATATATATATAATTTAGTTTTATGGTTAGGATTAGCATTGCAAGTGTTGACAAAAAAAATTAAACAATTTTTGTTTATAATTATAAAATTAAAAAGAATATACACTACTAGCAACTAATCAAAATTCAGCAATATTTTTTTGTTGTTCTTGATCTTCCTTTAAATTATATCTGAAAAAAATTATTTCATCTTAAGAACTATTTGAATGTTAATGACCCTTCTCAGAACTATAGAAAATACCAAAATATTCCTTGTTTGTGGGGATATTTATATCTTATCTAGGAATGTGACCCAGTTATTTCCATTTAGCCTCCCATTTTTTTTTTTTTGCTTATTTTTTTTATGCAGGTTCTTTGCATATCTCCTTTGAACATTTTTATCCAGGTAGCATATGTTGAAATACCTTTTTAATCGTCAAAATCCTACATAACCCACCATTTTCTATCCAGTTGCTCACTGCCCACCTAAAATTGAAATTGCCCTCCGGCAGGTGATATCACCCAGGTTGTTAAACCCTGTTGTAGAGCATTGATTAAAAAGTTGCCCTCACAGGCCATTACTAAAGTAATATCTAGATAACCTATGCTTACATTTTTGATTATGATAAGCTTATTAAATATCATATTAATCTGTTGCATTAGTGTTTTATATTTTTAATTTGAACCAATGGGCAATGTTTAAGTCCAATTAAAAGTTAGGATTTCATATACAGATATTAAAAGAAGGCCATAGCTTCTCTTTTGGAAGATTGGTGCAATGCAGCCTTTCTGTTCCCATTTTCCCTCATTTAACCTTGTGCCATACTAAAATAAGGTCAATAATATAGTGCAAGTATGATACTAGTTTCTGATACAGTGAATATTATAGCTGTCTATGCTACTTTGAAAAACCAAACAAATGTTTAATTGCTTGAGAATTGGTAAAGAAATTATGTTTTCTGTTAGTAACCATGTCATCAAAAATTATTTCATCAGAGATGTTTTGTTTCATTGCATATATAGAATCTTGGATCTTCATACTCACAAAAAAAATAAAGTGTCAAAAGGATGTTTTTCTCCCTTGACACTGCTATTATTTTAACTACCTTCACTCCTCGGCAATGTTTATTGTTTAAAAAGAGATGATTAGAATTTTAAACATATGAAAGTGAATTTATATATTTTCTTTGTTCTTGAGAATTGACAACAAAAATAATAAAGACTATTTAATTATTAGATTGTTTATTAGAATGGTTGTCAAAACATCGACTAATTGCTAATCATTTCAAAGTTTATAAAATGGTAAATAATAAGGATTTGTAAACCTTTTGTTTAAGGTAGCGTGGAAAGTTAACATCTTGATTATATTGTTATTTTCTGTTCTGGTTACATGCATTAACCATTTTTGTTGATATTGCTGTTTGAAGTATTCAAGCAAGTTGATTTTTATTATTTGGTAAAACTATTTAGTCAAGAAAATTTTGGTTTAAAATAGAAATTGTGATTAATAAAAAAAATGATATATGCTTTGTTTTTCATTCCTGAAACAAGCACAGTCATTTTAGTCTGAGCAGTAGACACTAGAAAAGTTAAGTAATAACTAATTCAAATAGATGAGGAAAAAAATGATCAGATTGACTTTATTTCATCAATTTTTTTATATTTTGTACTGCTTTCTTCAATTTCTAGTTTAAGTGTTGAATGAACAGAGTTATTTTTTCTATTTTCAGATAATCCTGTAAAAGAAGATACAAAACCAAGTAAGTTCAAATTTATTATAAAAAAAATTAAATTCTATACAGTAATTTTTTATTATTTTCATACTTTTAAAAATTAAATATATATATTCATTTAATAATAGAATTCATTTAATAATAGAATTCATTTAATTCACTTTTATTTTCATAATTTTTATTATAATATATTTATTATAATTTTTATTTTTTAAAAATAATAATAATATTAAATTTTTTGACAGCAAAGAAGACTGTCTTGAATAATGAAGGTAGAAGATTTGAGGGATTGATATGTTTATATAATCAATACAATACATTTTGTGAGCATGTTTTTCATTACTGTATACATACGTTTGCATCACCCTGTATATAATTAAAAAAAATCAATTAGCAGTGACTCATATTTTGTTGACAAAAATTGGGTTTTTTGCTTTCTTTATGTGACAAAAATTCTCTACATTCTCTGTTTATTAAATAGTTTATTTTTTAAAAATAAAAAAGTCTTTTCAGCATTAAACAAATGATAGAGTTGATATGCCATTAAAACAGAACAATCAATTACTCAGCTTATTTTATTCAAGTTTTAGTCATCTCTTTTGTTAATATTTCATAAAGGAATATTTTATACATTACTTATATTTCTAGTTCATTTTGCCAAAAGTAAAATTCAGGCCATGTAAAATGGTCCCATAAATAAATCATCAGAAAACAAAAGCAATAAAATGATTTTGTAATTTAGGCATCAATTATTTGTATCATTTTATATTATTTCTTTAAAATAATTGTTCAGATGAACTTTCCTCTATGGAACTTAGACATTATGAATTTAAGCACTGTACTACATTTGCAGCAAGATCTCATCATTTTACAATTGAATTGGTTAGATTTAGCCATAAGTTCTATGCTAACAGTTTCTTTTCTTGTACTTCTCACTCACTTCTGGAACTCTCTTCTGGCTTTTTGCTTTCCAGTCAAGTTTAATTTTCAAAATTTTAAATGCAATGTCAATTGTAGTCTTCTGTCTTCTTAGTTCCTATTCTTTTGTTGTTCTTGCTCCTTAATAATGCTTTCTTTTTCTTATATTTTTTTCATACTCAGTCACCCTCCTTGCATCTTAGTGGCTTTATTACTTTGCTTGGGGAGAAATAATTAAAAATAAGTCTTCTCTTCATCTGAAAAGATACTGTCCAGTATTCGATGTTATACAGAAGAATTGATATTACATCATAATTCACCACACTTTTCTTTGTTTCTGTGTGTAGGTAATATTGCATGAATTACACACCAGAATTCACAACACTTCAACATGAAAAACAAAATTCTGTTGCATAGACATGAGTTTTTAAGTTGAATAAGGATTTTATACAAAAGAAATTATTACCTAAAGAAATCATATCAGTCTCATTTCTTTGTGCTAAATAATAAGAATTATAAATTCTGCCTAGTATTTGTTCATGAGTTTGGTGATTTTGTAATTGTGAGTTCCATCTCTGAACTGGATAGTACAGACATAGACTAAGTGAAAACAGAAAAAAACAGTATCTGAATACTACTAAAAAGATGAGATATCCCAAGACATGGATATGGAAAAGAGATCAATCAACCTCTATAGATTATATAAAGAGTTGAGTTAGAAATTCTATGAAATATACCCAGATTGACAGACATCTGATGAAGGACAGAGGGTATAATGACTGAAACATTGTGATAAAAACAACAAAGATGAGTATATTAGTCTGAATGTGAATAATATAAATAAGAATATTCATATAAGAAATTCAAACATATTCTTTATCTATTAATTAAATAAGAAATCTTATTTGCTCTTGAAATATAATGTCTGTGAATTTGAGTACCTATACATGGTGTAATGGTTAGCAAACTTGTCTCACTAGATTAATTATGACTAACCAGTGAGTTTGATCCTCACTGGGTGCTCACATACTTTTGGCCTTGTGCTACATCTAAGCTATGCTTAGAAAATCATTTTTTGGGCACCTCAACATGGCATTGTAGTTAGCAAGCTTGTCTTGCTTGATTGATCCTCACTGGGTAGCATCTATACTTTTGACTTTGTGCCACATCTAAGTATGCTTAGAAAATCACCATACAGGCACCCTGACGTGATGCAATGTTTATCAAGCTTGTCTCACTAGAACAATTATGACTGAGTAGTGAGTTTGATCCTCACTGGGTGCCCCATACTTTTGGTCTTGTGCCAAATCTAAGCAACACTTAGAAAATCACCATCTGAGCACCTCGACGTGGCATAATGATTAGCTAGCTTTTCTTGCTAGAACAATTATGACTGAGCAATGAGTTCAATCCTCACTGGATATCCCCATACTTTCAGCTATGCTTAGGAAAATCACCATAATGTTTATGAACGTTTACTTTTATTTGTAGCCTATCCACATAAATCTGATTTTATTTTCTTTGTTTTCAGGCATTCAAGTGTCTGGTACATCATACATCGAGAAAGGTGATCCCATTCATCTAGTGTGCAATACAACTGGGTCAGAATATCCTCCACAAGACTTAGACTGGTTCAAAGATGGTAATAAAATTAGTACAGATACTTTGAAAAAGATTTATATAAATAAATACCACATTCATGACACAAAGACTTTGACAAGCACCTTGGAAATCACACACAGCAAGATGTCTGATGCAGGAGAATATGTATGCCGTAGCTCAAACCTGGAAATCACGAGTATAAAAGTTCATGTCCTGAATGGTAAGTTAGTTTCTGTTACATTCCTTGTTTTCTTATTCTCTTTCATATAACCTCCAGAGACACCTTGCTATTATATAAAGATTTGTTATTAGTTTTAGGATTGTCTTATTTGATAAAATTTGTCTTGTTTGTTCAAGTGAAGTAGGTAGTGTTTGTATATTGTGCTTAAATGATTTGCTATTTTTTGAAAGATGACTTTTTGGTCTATATACAAATATTTACATCATACATTGTGAGAATGAACTGGTTTGCTTTTTGTGATATAAGTTTTTTCATTTCCTGTTTCCTGTTTGATGTTCCACTATCCCACTATTACAGAACGTGAGTCATCAACAATAAAGCGAAAAGGCATACACAAGAAAGATTCAGAACTTTGTAAGTAGTTTGGTGTTTTGTGAAAAACACCTATATAATAGTTAGCAATTCTGATTGTGTGTTCTTAAAAAGGACAAATGTAAAATAATAATAATAATAATAATAATAATAATAATGTAACAACTGTGCCTCTATATTCCATCTGCTTTCTGTGCCATAAGATCTTTTTTTTTTCTGTTTTTCCTCACCCCTATTCCCTTGTTACAGATGTTGATTCATCCCCAATTAATCGAAAAGACTTACACAACAAGAAAGAATCAGACTTCTGTAAGTAGTCCACTATTTTACAGGCCATCTCTAGGTAGCACCTCTAATCAAAGCACTAATCTGAAAGCTATTATCAGCAGACGATATATTCAAAATAATGGGTCTTCTTTTTTTCATTAAATAGTTATATCTCATGTTTGCTTAAAATTTACTTGTTTGTTACTTTCTAGTTTATCAGATAAATTATGTAGTTTAACTACTATAAGAAAACTATCATATAATTCCCTAAAAACGCCTAAATATAGAAACTATTTGCTTGGAATGACATAAATTCATCATGTGTTAACTATTTAATATATGATATATTACATAAAAACACCTTTGGAATAACTTAGAAAATAACACCACCAGTGATTTAACATTTTAATAAGTTAGCTCTTTTGGTATTTTTAATAGCAAACGCAAATTTATCAATGAAAATATTATATATGATTAAATGAGCAAGTAGTAACAAAAATATCCCCTTTCTACTTGTTCACTTGTAGCTGATTAGAACTGAAATCAGATGTACAAATTAAGAATATATTATAAGATATTAAAAAACATTTTTTATGCTAAACATAAAGTTTAAATTATTCTGTTCAAACTTTTTTATCAAAATTTATTTTATTCTCATTAAGATATTGTTCATAAGGAATTTTTTAAAACATTTAGTTAATGTAATTTAAAATAAATTTAAGCTGGTAAGAGAAAAAGTAGTTAATCTTACCATAGGAATTGTACACAAATAAAAAAACTAACAAAAACATACTGGAATGTATTCAGTTATTTTGAGTATCTCAAAAAACAAAACAATGTGCAAAGTTTGTTTTATGTAAATTGGCAATGGATACGAGGGGACTTTTTTACTCATGCATGAACAAGTATGCTTTCTATAGGGTTACTCAATCAGCAATGACATATCATTGACTGAACTTGTGTACTATGTGACTATCCCATTCAATGTTTGACAGAAACATTGCATCATCCTTGACCCATATGAGTCCAGATTTAACTCCTCATGATCTCTGGCTTTGTCAAAACTAAAATTACCTTGCCATGAATATAATTAAATGAAATGCAATATGGTAACTGGTGACAATTCTAAAAGCAGGTTTTGCACATTGTTTTGAATACTAGAAAGAGAGATAGTTGTATATGTGTGTAAAATCATGGAAACCATATTTTGAAAAGGAACAAAATACCATTGCCTTAGGTATGTCATATTTTCTTAATATTAAATGGCTGCATATTTTCGAGATAAATCTTATGCATTCTTTGTATGAAAATATTTATTTATTAAGTTTTCTGATAGTTTCTTAAAATTCATCACAATAAATAAATATAGTCTTAAAATATAATATTTAACTGTATAACACTAAATAAATGGTTTTTACTTAAGTCAATTTTAATAATATTTTTATTACATTTTTAAACAGATTGGTGGACCTTACTGAAATGATTTTTGACTTTATAAATATCAAACTTTTATTCATACTCAATAGAAAGTTGTATTAATTTTACATTTCAGATTTTTATCAAATTATTAAAAGATAATTTAAAGAATATAAAATTAATATTGAACTCTTTAGTTTAAACAATTTGGCACAAACTAATATTGCCTATAAACTATGTCAGATTTTATAATGCAAATCAGTTTTTCACAATAAAATTGGTCTTAACTAAATGATATTCATTAATCTTTCAAGATATACCTCTATTTATATGAGTAATATATTGAATTTCAGCTTACCTTGTATTATTAACAATATTAATAACTTGTATCCATTTTTTTATCCAAACTAAAGAGAACATGAATTTTTATTTATAAACAAACCCAAAAAACATAGGACATACAAACATATATTTAATTAATACAATATTCTATATAGCAGACTAAATTATTATTTTATTATTTTACATGCTCATATGGGCTCCTTAACATTCTATAACCTTCAGTCTTTCATTCATTGATTTTAACTTTTCTGCCATTTCAAATTTAACATTACTTGCAACAATTTTTATTGCTTCCTGAACACCTTCTTTGCTTTAATATTATTTTTCATTTTATTATACATCCCTTTTAATGATAGACCACAAGTTTTCCATTGTATTGATATCTGGAGAGGCTGGTGGGGCCATTCTATTAATTTGGAATTTTTGAAAACTTTTTTAATAAAGTGGGCAATAGTTAATTTTTGCAGAATGTGAAGGAGCATCGTCTTGCATGAGTATACTCTTTATTTTAAAGCTTCTTGGTTGTGACCTGTACAACACGTAAAAATTCTTCTCTAATTTTCTGCATTTAACCTGATACCACCATCAATCTTGAAAGAGCCTATAATTTTACTACCTATAATAATAGCTATTATAAGCATTACTTCATGTACCTTCTGTTGTCTTTATCCATTACTAAAGATGCTTGAAAAATGGTCAGTTCCCTGTAAGTATCTGACTATCTTTTACCTTTACAAGAGCCAGATGAGGCAGAAAATGGAGTAGTGTTGCTATATATGGGCAGGAGCTATGCAGTCTTCCCTTTCAAGCCTCAATAGAATCCAAAAGCATCTCCACATGCTTGTGGGTGATGAATCATTTTCCACACTACAATTCCTTTCCCACAGATGTAACATTGCAAGTCTCTTACTGCTCTATTGCTATTTCCATAGAAAGTGTTCAGGCAAAATACATTCCTTAGTTCTATGAGTTCTACAGCTAAGACCTGCCATGCCATGCACATTGTAGCAATCACCCACATTACTTTCATATCCCATTGGTGATGTAAATTCCACTCAATCAGCTTCATCCCACTGTTTTGTGGAACTGACTCCCAAGAGGATGCTTCCACAATCACTACAATCTTAACCTGTTCACATCTAGGATTTACTGTCATCTTCCTCACATATTCCCATAAACTGTGCCTCTTACTCTGTATCACTCTACCTGAAGTGGCTCATAGTAAAAAAAAAAAGAAGTTGTAATGTTTCACTATTTCCATGAAGGACCCAACCTCTAGACTACTCATCAGGCCCATCTAATATAGCTCTACATTTATAATTAAAAATTACTTCTACAAAATCAGTTTTTGTGTACTTCTTCAGTTAACTTACATGTTTCATTTTGTCATGTTAATTTAAAGATGGTGATTGCTTTCCTATCTTTAGCTAATGTTTATGATATTCTGCATCTTTTCTCTCTCTTTACATTTGCAACCTCCAGCTTCTTCAAATATTCTCTTGCTGGTCAATCCACCTTTCTTGCTTATTACCCTTGAAACTTTTCTCAAATCTCTTTTTGTGACATTCTTAAAGTTATTTTGTCTTGTTCTTATCCTGCCAATGTTTTCAGTTTGTATTTTGATTATTCTGTGATCTTTTTGCAAATTTTTCACAATTTTCTAAATTGTATCCCATCACTGAATAACTTTGCAATACTTCTTATGATCCATGGCAATATTTATATATCTAAAAATTCTAAAAACAATACCATTTCTGTTCTGTTATTTCCAGTATAATGAATCATCCTCAAGCTACATAATAAAATCTCACACCACCCAATAAGTTATTTCATATATTTTAATAAATACTTTAAGCTGAAATTCACACGGTATATTTATCATATAAATATATCCTGGTTAGTATCAGTTTTATTGAGAAAACATTGACTTGCATAATAAAATCTGACACAGTATACATCCCATTTAGTAACTGACTATGTCATGGTAAGTAGATGGTATGTAAATAAATTATATTTAAAACAATTCCTAAAAAATTGTTAATTAAAAAAAACATTGTGTTTTGTGTAAATGAGCATGTATTTAAAGGTGTTCTAATGTGCAATTGTGTGTGTGTGACATAAATGTAGGTTTCTTATGAACTGAAATTTTAAATCCATGGTGCATAATTATATCATGTAAAATAATGTTACTAATAAAAATAGAAATATATTCTCCCAAAATATAGATAAAATGAACTTCATTAAAAAATGTTTATTATTGTTGTCATTATTTTAACTGTAATTTTGTGTATTAATATTTATTATATAAATAAATAGATATGTTGATTATTTATTACTATATATGTTGCCTGCAAAAATAGCATAGCTTTTTATTATATATGTCAACAAATGTAGTTTTAATTCTTTTATATGGGTTTCGTAAAATGTCATTGAAATTGGAGGAAGTAACTTAGCTTAACATGATTTTTCTATCATGAGTAATAAAAAAATTATAATTTCTTGAAGATTTTTAATATATTTGCGTTTTCATTTTTACCTATGAAATTAAAATTCTATATTAATAGCATTTTAATTTTTTTCAATTAAATTTTAAAGCAGTATTGGACAAACATCTTAAAACTATTTAAGTTAATATTAACTTTGAATCTAATAGGCATATTTTGTATATATTTTTTTTAACCCATCCAAGCACACACACATTTGCCAAATCATAATCAGCTAATATGGACACATATATAGAAAATAGCATATTTAATAATCTTGTCTGGCACAAGAATATTGGTGGGCAGAAGATCCAGTTTATATTATCTGTTAACAAAGAGGACATAACCATTTAATCTAACAGTATGCCTTTAGAAATGATTTCAAATTTGAAATAAAACCTGGAAAAATCTTTATTATCTAATAAGTTTCTCTTCATGAGAAAGCATTCAAATTTATTAATATAAGTTATTACCTAAAAGCAAATAAATATATTTTGTACTATTATTAAAATATAACTAATTTTATTGCATTTTATTAATGT